TCATGCAGCTTACACTTCTGTTTGTTTATCCCACCATTACTAACCAGAGAGTGATGACCTGGTCGGCGATGGACAGTTTGTTCTGCCATGCTGACACCTCCTCAAGGAAGTGTTCAATATACTTCGATGTCATAAGATTCTGGAGCTGGACCTGTGGGCCAACGAATTTGCATATGAAACTCTTTCTATCTATCCACTTTGTTTATCTAACTATCAGCGTATCTATCAACCTATCTTTCTATCTATATCTATATCTCTTTCTCCTCCTTCACTTTTTCATCTTCTTCATCTCCTTTTCTTCTCCTAGTCCTCCTTCTCCTTCTACATCTTCCTCCCTTTCATACTCTTCCTCCTCATTCTCCTCTCCAGCCTCCTCCTTCTCCTTCTCCTCTTACACCCCCTCCTCCTCCTCCTCTTTCTCCTCCTTCTCGTCCCCTTCCTCCTTCTTCTCCACCTCCCTTACATCTTTTTCTTCTTCTTCATCTTCTTCCTCCTACTCTTCCCTCTCCTTCCCCTTCTCCTCCTCCTTCTTTCATTTTTCTTTAACTTTTACCTCTTTTTCCTTCTCTTCCTTCTCCCCTACCTCCTCCTTCTTCTCTTTCTCTTTTTCCTTCTCCTTCTCCTCCTATACCCTCTTTCTTCCCCTTCTTATCTATCTCCTCTTCCTTCCCATTCCCTTACTGCTCCTCCTTCTTCCTGTTCCTTCCCTTCCCCCCTCCCTTCTGCTCTCCTACTCCTCCTCCCTCTTCTTCTACTCCTCTCCTTCTCCTCCTCCCTTCTTCTCTCCCTTTCTCTATCCTGCATCCCCCCCCCTCACCTGATTTTCCTCGAGCGTCTCGATCATCTCCTCCGAAGTGCGAACGAGGTCGACGCCCGTGCGAGGATGCGTGTCCACCAGGAATTCCATGGTAGACCAGGTCACGTCCAGTTCCTGAAATAATCAACAAATAAAGGGCATGTATTTTAATTTTTTTATAACTGTTCAAGTGTTATAACAAATTGATGAATTGAATAACAAACATATGGATATATATATAATATAGAAAGCGCATAAGTAAACAATTAATTCATTTTTATACCGACCTTGATTATCTTCTCCATGGACATTTCTTTGACTGCCTTGTCGACAATGTTTTTAACCTCGTCCTCGTGCATGTGGAGGTTGAGCTCGAGTAAGTCTGCTAAGGTTGTCTTGGGATTGTCCACGAAGTTCGCCTGTGAATCGAATTGTAAAAGTTTTGAACCTTGTATTATAATTCCATATCGAGTTTAAATAATCTTCATGTAATCTCTTTGCTCTTTCTGACACCTCTCCTTCACTTTTTGTGTTTTCTCAGCCTTTCACTACCTTCCCTGCTCCTATAGATTTAACCCCCTGTTCCCCTCACCACGAAGGCCGCCGTGGATGTGCCGTCCCCCTTCTTTGTCGCCACGAGGAGCTGTCCCCAGTGGCGTTCCCTCAGCGACGGGTTCTGCAGCTCGGCCACCGCCCTCAGCGACGTCAGCATGTTCTTCACGGTGGAATCCAGGTTCACGTAGGCGTCCCACACCCGCATCTCCTTGTCGAGAGCTGCAAGATGAATGCCAGCGTGAGCGGAGACGAGTCAAGTTATAATATAGTTAAAAAGTTTGTCGTGTTTCGGACACACATTTCTTTAATGTTGCTGTAGGGTTCTCGTGTCCTCCTACCTCTGATGTCTTTCGCGAACTTCTTGCACTCGATGTCCATGTTCTCCACGTCCACTTCCCTCCAGGGGGTCGTCTTCCAGTGGTTGATGCAGGCTCGCACTAGACAGATGTGATCCCAGAGTTGCTGAGGATGGTAGGGATGGTATAACTATTCATAGCATATGTATTCAGTTGCTAAAGTATGACATTCTGTCAATTTAATATTTGGTTCGTATTAATAATGACTCTAAAATGGATATTCTCTGGCAAATATTTCTGGAATTCTGCATCACAATTTTATTCTTTTATGGACTGGCGGGTCCTATATCTATCCTCACTTCGTTCTCTTATACCTTCAGTAACCTCAGCTCCTTCCTGCAGGACTTCATGTGCTTGAACTCGGGAATGACGACCTCGAAGAGCATGGAAGACTCCTGCAGCATGTGCATCTCCTCCTCCAGCCGTGTCACTCTCGCGTTTACCCTTTCCAGGCGCCAGTAGGGCAGCTCGCAGTCGTAGCTGTGGGATGAAATTTGATTTACAGACGAAGAGCAATGTCGAAAAGTAGATACACATACACCATGGTCACTGGTATGCTTGCTCATATAATTCAGTCACCATATATATGTAATTATAGGAGAGAGAGAGGGAGGAATGTAATATATACAATAAGCACAGAATTATTCCACATGGCTCGAAATAATAGGAATTCAAAGGAACCCAAGACCTACTTGAAAAACGAATACTTCTTGAACTTCTCCCTGTAAATATTTTGCCTCGTCTCGAACTTGACGCATTTCTTCCTAATGACCGACACTTCATTGGCCTTGAGAGGCGCCACGTGCTGCCGGATGAGGTCGCACTGCTTCTTCAGGGACTCCCACTGCTCGGGCAGCTCCTGGTAGCGGGACATGGGTTTAGGGACATGTTCTTACATTGTATAAATGTTTCCACCCATATAATGTAATTAGAAACTTAGTAACTATTCCCTGAATATCTGACTGTACACATTTGCATCATAAGAGAAGGCCAGTCTCACCTGCAGCTTGAGGTGCATGGTCTCCGGCAGGTCGTCGCCGTACTGCTGCACGAGGGCGATGATGGCCTTGAGGGGCTCGAACATGGCGTCTGTCGTGTGGATCCTGTCCCTGACCCTCACCAGGTGCGCCATGATGGATACTAGGGTGTCGTAGTCCCCGTTGTTGAGGTCCTGCGCCACCCCCACCTCGGTCGTCTTGATGAAGTTGTCCAACTCCGTCAGGCTATGGTAAGTGATGCAGGGGGACAACGTTAGGTGTTGTAGTCTATCTTTGTGTTCAAGTAGGGAATTAGATGTATACCATATCCAAGTTTGATATGACGTGCAATAAACAATTTCATAAATCAGTGACACATTTGTAGAGACAAACATTGCTGCATAAATAAATGTACAGAAAAAAATATTCATATTGAATCTCTTTTAGGCTAAGACTCGCCACTCGCTTCATCACCCTAAACAACAGATAAACACCATTACCTGTCCGTCACTTGCGCAATAAGGTGTTGCTTGTACATCTGCGCCCACTTCTTGGTGTTCTCCAGCAGGCCGTGCTTGAAGGGTCGCACGTCCAGGCGCAGCCATTTGTCGAACACCACCATCGTGTCTATGTTCTCGAGCTCGGCGTGCAGCTGCTCGTACTTGTCAATCTGCAGTGAAAGTTTCAAGCTCATTAGACCTTAATAGATGGCTACCTTGTTTTTGATATTCAATGTATTTAACAAACGAAGCTGTTCCACTGCATATGGCAAGCATATGAATTGTGAATTGCAGGGGAGTGAGAAAATACATAATCTCATACTTGTTGCTTGAACTTAGGAAGCCCAGGCTGCTTTCCATCTTCCTCTGATGTGAGGAACCTCTCAAGAACCTCGTCGCGACGATCCCGCCAGAGGGATTGGTGCTGCAGGAATTGGTCGCGGTGCTCGGCCACTTGGGACGCCGCCGCCTCGAATCTCCCCACCAGCGTCTCCTTCAGATGGGAAACTTCCTCATCTTTCTCAACATCAGGCTGAAAATAGGAGAATGCTAGATATCAAACTAGCTGTAGTAATTATACGAACTGAAAAATGACAAAAATTTAAACATACATAACCACTTGAATTAGTGTATTTACTGCATATAATTTTGCAAATTTTATGGCATAATATAACAATACTGGCGAAAGCACTAACATCAAAAGCATGCACCCCATAGTATATGGAGATCTAATTTTAATAAGTATCCTGCTTTACCAAATACGACGCATGAGTGTGAGTAGCCAGACGGGGCACGAGGTCGCAGATGTGAAGGATTTCCCCCACAAGGGTCTCCACCAGGCTGCGCAGCTCCTCGGGCGAAGGGCGGATGATGAGGTAAGGCTCCTGCAGCTCTAGCCGGGCCTCGAGCAAGGGGAACTGATTGACCCTCAACTCGCAGTTGTCCAGCAGGTAGAACAGGCTACAGAATGTATATTAGATTTGACATAGGTATAGGCTTGCATTTTGTCTGTTAAATTGGTTGATTACTGACGAATTTAGGGCTTGCAAAGAGCTTGCCAAGAAATACCTCTTAATTTACCGTGCTAAGAAGTATGATTTAAGTAGCTTTTTCAATGTTTGATGTTAGCTTCATAAACACATGGTCATTACATGTTGCATGTAATAATGAAACACATGATAGCCTGGATATGTAGCAAAAATGCAACCGAAGAAGAAAACGTAGTAACGCAAGTTCATTACCTGCAACTGACGCCGTCCACAAGGCCTCTCGTGATCATGTGGTCCAGGAAGAGGAGGTAGCGATCCCAGTGCTTGGAGTCTTCAGGCACTTTGAGGAGGCGCTTGTTCTCGTCAATCATGCCGCGGATCTTAGCTCCGTCTTGCTCCATGGCTGTGTACCTGTTGAAGGGGAAGGAAGTTTTTTGTTTGTTCCTATAACTAAAAATCGTCCAAATGGTGATGGTAGATAAGATATACATTAGATAACAAAGAGAGAATAAGATCGAAAAAGAGTAGGGAAAATCAGGGAAAGAGTAAAGTTGAGAAAGACTAAAATACTCTTCAAGTTAACTTACACTTTCTTGAGTCTCTCCGCCCTGTCCTCAAGGTTCAACAGCGTGTCCTTTTTCCCTTCACGCCTCTCGAAGATGGGCTTCAACACCCACGTCAGCATGATGTCATCTACTCGGCGCACGTTGGCTTGTACTTGCTGCACGCGGATTTCCAGGTCGCTCACTGTGTCCCGCAGCGCCACGATGTAATCCCACACTCCTGGTCGGTGATACAGGTTTGAAAAATATATCAAAATGACCAGA